CAAGGTTATTATGCCATTAACGTAATGAAGTTAGCTATAGAATGGCAAGGGGTCCAGAACTCGGGAAGGTGGACCACACGGAGTAGTGACTGGTTCCAGAGAGACAGAGAGAATGAGAAGAGAGGGAGGGGTAAATATACGTATAATACATGGAGTGCAAGGAATGATAAGGGGTTGAAAAGAGTGTGAAAAGGGAGAATTTACTGGAGAATATATATATATATATATCCACAGAGAAAAGGATACCTGATGAGAAATAGATAAAAGGCTTGTTAAATATCACCAAGTGAATATCTACGTGTACTTATAATCTTCAATTAATACCATCAGATATATCGCATGGCTCCGTTCCGCAAGCTCACGTGTGTATATAACATCGTAAACGTATACGTTTCTGTATGGTCATATATGTAAAGGTTACTCCGGGGGTACGAAATTTCCCTCTTGAACCTACAGATAGAGCTTGGGAATATCGGGGAAATTACGTAACAAAGTAGAGAGAGCGCTTGTCCCGTAACCTGACCTAACGCAATTTAATCCAGTTGCTTCGCGAAATGGCACTTAAGAGAAACCTTAGGCTGCGCTATATCCCAGTGCTCGCACACGTATGGATACAACGATACGTATAGTATTATACGTGACTATTGCAAAATTTGGGAAAATTTTGTCAAACGACGCGGAATAGGAAGGGATTAAGTGAGCTTATCTCCACGATGCTTCCTAATGATCATCTAGGTACTAATATATGTACAAGAGTGCATAAGCATGAGTTGCTCGTATTATCTGTTGGAACGGCGTCTCTACGTCACTCTACTTTTCTTAACTTTTTCATTCGTAAAGGCCTTTCCGATCTGCGTTTCTGATCACAAGGACTTTCGTCCTCGCCGGAAGAGGCTGAAACCATTAGACTTAGATGCGTCGAAGCGTTATACAATTTGCTTAAAGGGATTTCTATACGACTCTCCCATCCAGTTCCTATCTGTTTATCTCTGTTCCACGCTCTCTGTTTACCTATCGCTCTCTCTCTCTCTCTCTCTCTCTCTCTCTCTCTATCGCACTCAATCTCGTTTCGTCTTCCTTTCCCCTATCCTATATCCCGCTCGGTACTAAGTCCTGCACAGATGAAACCCGCTGTGAACACTGAATGAAGCGACAGAGCATCGACGCGTCATCTCTCATCGCAACCTACGTCCGTTATGAGAAAGGCGTGCAATTAGCGAATCGGGCAATCTCATCAGCCTACTACATAATCCCACGTAAAGCGTGATCTGAATTACGGAGCCGGGGCGCGATGGCGGAATACTTCGTCCCTCGTGAACGCCTCAACAGCTGGATTCGAAATAGCATCGAAACCGGTCTTATGCCTGGTACTGGTATCTCGTCTGTCGCTTTCATGAGAGTGTGTCGAGCGACATGACAATGCTATGTCGTTCGAATTTATTACTGAATTTTTGGTCGGAATTTTTTTTTTTTAGAATTAATCAGTTAATGTTAGGGATAATGTTTATAACTATGTACTGTGGTGGATAGATATATCTCTCTCTCTAGAGAGAGAGAGAGAGAGAGAGAGAGAGAGAGAGAGAGAGAGAGAACTGATTGGAAGGAAAGCGAAAATTAATCAAAATTAATGAAAGCCAAGGACCCTATATATTGATGTAGCTATAGTGATATCATATGATATAATATAATACTAGTATAGTAGTACTGTATTCTGGTAGCGACTGTACTGTTACTGAAATGGGCTATGTTCGACTCTAAATATTTCATTTGGATATACAAGATTTGTATATATTACACGATAATTGTACTTCAAAAGTACACACAGTATTTTGCAATTTTTTTGTAGAATTCAGAAAATACATAACGTCATCGACTCACTTCTAAGCATTATAATATCTCAATTAAATCGATAAGAACTTTCCTGATTCGACGTTGTCACCGTAACTATACTAGATCGGTCGTCCGGAAAAGTGCCTGAATGATAAAACTTACGCATAGATATAATTCCGAATAAGTTGATGAATAAAGCAAAATATTATTATTATCAAAATCACTCACCGATCCATGATTCCATACTTTCGGCTTGGGACTGGCTCTAGCATTCGCATTAGGTCCAGCAGCTGATGTCACGTTGGCACTAGGAGATGTGCTGGACTTGGTCGCTGGTTTTGAGTTCTTCGTTTGCGTCGCGACGGCGGCCGCAGGCGTCGCCGCGTGCTGCTGTGAGGTTGCTTGCTGCTGCGTCTGCTGCATAATCTGCTGAATCAGTTCCAATTGCTGTTTCGTGAGGCCGTCATTGCTGGCACCAGGGGACGTTGCGCTCTGTAACAATAACGAACAAGACGTCATGCTTTCACAAGTATTAACGTACCTCTCGCTATTTCTCCTTGTTCAAATTCAAAGGGCATCGCCCATCACGACGAGAGACAGACTTTCGTAATTCCTGAAAACCCGTCGTTAACCCATCCTAGCCCACTACCCTTGCCCGTTCCCACGTCTATCTATATATCCCGCCTATATCCACTCTCCATCCGCTGGCTTCGCGATAATGAGCGTAACTGCTATGTAATCGCTTTTACAGCAATTCCGCCCGGGTGCCTTAATCGGGTTTTCGCTTTGAACCATCCCGCAGGCGCCGCTCGCCGACGTCCACGAACACGAATCGTTTTACCAAAGTCGTGAAACTTTTCTTGGATCAGCGAGAAATCATTCTTTTTCCTCTATATATACTTTAACTAGAAGAGCCTATGGGATAAGGATCTGAAGAACTGCAAAGACAGCGGGTTCCACGTGCTGGAAACTGCTGGACTAGAATGAGGGGAAATGGCGAAGTAGGAGAAAAAGTAACGAAGCGGAACTACGGGAAAGAAAAGACTTTTTGCAGAATCAACTAGTGCAATCCCTCCCACATTTTTCTCATGTTTTCTCGTTCCTCTCATTTTCATCGTTTTAATGACCGATCCTACTGAAAACGTAAATTGACGTTTAATGCTTATATTTGACAGTATGTACCGTCGCCACTTTTCTAACTTGATATTCATGATACGGCAGCGGCAACGAAAGTGATGCGCTTCCACGGATATCACCGTTAAAGGTACAGAATTGAACAACAGCTGTCGTAAAGGTGAATCGGTAAAACAGGGAATTACATTTTCGTGTATAGCTACATATTATACTATAATATAGCATGCAGCGTATGACTAGGTATAACATGCAATATTATATACATATGTGGCATATACCATATAGTCACGTAAAATATCCTACATTCGCGTTAATCTATCTTCTTGTAGCGACCAGAGGGGTAAATACAAAGTGAGTAAGGAGTAGCAATAATGAAATACCTATACCGTGTACATTTTTTCAACACCATGTCAACCCTGACTGGAGTGCACCCCTGCGTAAGATATGTCTAATGAAATCATCATTGAAAACAAAGATATGTGAAAAATGCACGCACGGTCAATGTTTGTGTCCAAATATTCAGATACGAAATGTTGAACCAATTGGATTGAAATTTATAATTAATATTAATCTCGGGATGCTAATACAAAAGCATGATAATAAAACAAATAATTATATCATAGAACGATATGAAAATGGGTTTTATATATTTATATACGTATCGTTATTATCGGTTAGCAATTATCTCAACAACAAAAAAGTATATTCGTCGGCCCTGTACGGTAGTAGGTATATATAAACTCGTAGATTGAACAGACAATTAAAATTGGATTTGTTAATTACTACTGGGAATGCAGTGCAGAGTCCGCGGCAATCCACCTCATACCTTATTAAACCTTCATTTCGTAATTCCCATGGTGCCATTTGTCATCGACCTGACAACGCAAGGCTCAAAACGATTTTGTATTATATTTCTGATGTCCGGATATTGGCAAAAAATGCATATATAGTACGTGTCGCGTGCTTATGCTTACGTGTACACTGCCGTTGAAAAGTTTCCGGACAAGGGCCTAAATTGGGAAAAATGAAAGTAAAACGTCGGTCCATAAAATTTGTTTTTAATCTTGAGTCTCCTCTTTCTATTTCCGCGCCGTAGAATTGGTTTCTTAGTGGAAACTCTGTTCCACAGGTCGTCTCTGTACAAGGGATGCTTGGCAATAGTTAACACTAAACGTACCGTCGACTGGTCATTTGACCGTTTTAAAACCAAAAATACGTTCATAAAAAATCGTCGGTATGTTTAGTATTAATGATATCTGTTTTTCATGTGTTTCATTGAACCGCCTTTGGATTTCCGATGCAGTAAGCTTCATATTTATTTTGGACATTATTACTAATGACCGGCCCTTTGCTTTGAAAATAACTTAAGGCCTTCCACTGCATGCTTTGTCTTTATTAGAGCTTGTTCTCCAAGGGGGATTTTTAGCATCTGCCACAATAGCAGACCGCGATACTTTCATTTTTTAGCAATATAACGTAGGCGGGGGGGGGGG